TCCGTACGAGCGGATCCCTCCAGGAACCAACACGTCTACATCGGGACAGCGACGCAACTTCTCGAGTAGTTGTGGGTCATTTCGCTCCACTATTTACTGCGTGAAGTGCGATGTTTCGGTAAATTACTAGTTGATCCTTTGCGCAGTAAAAACTCCGCGGCAGCTACAGCATTTACTACTGCGGTTTCTTTCACATGAGTGCGTGGCGGATTCTTCGCTTGTTGCACAGGAAGTTTCGAGATGTTACCACTGCGTCCTCGACTTTCTTGACGACGTCGTGACAGTTTTTTAAGGTCGGTATGAGACGCACGAACGTTCATATGCTCCATATCTTCACCAAGAAGCATCGCCCCTCTCCAATCACTTGAAGATCCATGACTTACGGCTTGTCGGTGTTTATCGCGGTTTGAACTTCCGTCTACGCCAGTTGTGTCTTTCAAAAAATCACGATAAAACATGGCTTTTGGCTGATATCCACGACGCAAATATTTGCATTTGATCTCCGGAATCTTAGCTAGTGACAGTCTTTGCAGCATAGTACTGGGGTCCCAAATCCCGATAGAACCTTGTTCATCGCCCACAAAGAGCAAATACCGATCCGTTTCTTCGTCAAAAACCACCTTCATACACGTCACAGCAGACGCAGTTTCTATGGGTGATTTTACTTCAGGCTCGAGTTTTACCACTGGTACCGTCGTCAACGCGTTTTTCCGCTTTTTCGTGTTCAACAATAATTTTCGAGCTGCAGTCTCCGCTGCCTCGGTCTCGTTAGTTTTTTCTTCAACATTCTCGCCAACAACAACATTTTCGGGAATATTTCGAGATTTGGCTTGAGATCGTCGAAGATTGAAACAGTGGTCGTTTACAAATGCATGTAACAACTTCCCAGTATATGCGTGTAATAGTGGAGTGACAGCGAAGAAATATACACCACCGATAGAGTCACCAGCCACGAGAACTGGGAACTCGTCCCAGAACTCCAACGTTTGAATGACCAAAGTGTTGCCGTCTTTGCTGAATTTTGAGAGGTCTTCGTCTTGGTCGTCGTAGCGACAATTTCCCAAATGAGCGAAAGTCTCGAAATCCCAGAGCGAAATCTTCATCCCGTCGGGATCTGCACCCACAGTTGCAATAATGGACGCGTGAAAACTGTACGCACTGGAGGAAATTCCTGCAGGAATGTTGATAAGACGTCGGAGAATGCCAATTCCTTTTGATGAATCTTGATTGGAATTATCGTCAATGACGGTAATTGCACTAGTTCCTGCGTCTGTTACGATGATAAGTTTATTTTCCGAGCAGTAGTGCAGCCCAACAACAGCACAGGATGAACCAGAATTTATCGCTGGTATTTTACCTGCCACAGTTTTTCTGCGCTGGACACGAATTTTCGACAAAAATGATTCTTGACATTGCCGCATTAGCACAAAATTCTGGCAATTAAATACACTGAGTGCTCCTTGTTCCGACATGACGATCAGTTTCCTGCATTTCGCGTCGTGTGCGCAGGTTAATAACTCTGTTCCTGCCTCGTTATGAACGGACTGATCAGATCTAGGGGGAGTTACTGAGTCTGTAGGTGGAGGTATCGACCCAGAGGAATCTTTCTTTGATCCTCCAGCGCTCGTAGCTCCATGAATTCCCAGATTTCCCACATGTGCGAACTCTTCGGTACAAGATCCAGTCTTTCCATCCCACAAACTGCAAACTGAGCCAGCCACCACCACAAATTTATTAGCAGAAGAGTGGTAAAATGCGCGAAGTGGAACCTCATCGAACTGCTGTCCTCGAACACTGCGAAGACGCTGCAATGTACAGCTCCCAGACGTGACAACCCACATATCTCGACTGTAAGGATGCATGGTCACAAAAGCAACGGGCTCTACGCATACTGAAGGCATCCCCAAGTCGATGGATTCCAACTGCACAGCTTGTGAAATACTGGCATTTGTGGAACTCGCGTGGCCTCTGGTGATGTCCCAAACCTTAAAAACGCCCTGAGAATCCGCAGTGATGGCCCGTTCAGTCTGGAAAAGTGCGAGTTGTACGCCAATTAGTGGCGCGCGATGGCCCGACAGTTTAAGAGCAATTTGTCGAGAAGCTAAATC